AATAAAATTGTTCCATATATTTCTCACCTGTATGTTTACACAATGATGTTCATGAGTAGACCCAATGGTACAAGTAAATCTAGTAAAATCAAAGAGAATAAAAAGTTGTAATTTTCCTACACTGATGATGTATTTCCGATAGATACTTACCTCCGTAATACTTTTTCTCGTTCAGTGCTGCCCTCTATATGTACGATTTCTGCTCACCACTAGCCTTGATACTCCCACTTACCCTCAAGTATTTACATGTGTTACAGCTGCACTGTAACATGCAAATAAGCATGAGACAATCTTTCACCAATATGAGTGCAACACACCCTTCTGGTGCAGCTGGCTCCCTCTATACTGTAGAGCCTAATCTTCACTTTGAGATTAGGCAAAAAAGAAACACTGGAAGTGGGGAGGATGAGTGGGAATTGTAAGTGGAGGTATGTATCTATAAGAAATTAATTTCCAGTGTAGGAAAATTATAACTTCTGATACGATATCTTACCTCCTCTCAAATAATAACTAGAACCCCACATTGAACTGGTGGAGAGACCGGTGCAAAATGAACCTAGATGAAGACTCTTCAGAAAGCATCCAAAGAGAGCCCATGAAATGTGACATCTCTCTGTAGAGGAATACATCTGTGGGAGACTGCACCACATTTGTACCAGCTATAGTCTTTGCTCAATGTAAAGATACGTATTGGATGGAAAAGGAGCACATCTAATACTTAATTGAATGGACCAAATGGTATAGAGTGGCTAAGGCATGTCAGACCATAATTAGTGGGTTAACTCCAGTCCAAGACCTGGTGGCATTGAAAAAGGAGCATCTGGGCTACAGTAGGAGAAGAGTCCCAACTGTCTTCACCTGAAGCCCAGGAGTCAGAAGGGAAAGAGGACTTCTCTTCCAAAAACCCAGGCCAGAACATGCATGCAGATCTAGTACACAACCAACACCAGATTCTCAGGAACACAACATCTGGGCAACAGTAGGAAAGTGGTATGCAACATGGAGGATCAACTCCAGTCCAAAACCAGGTGGCATTGAGAATGTATCATCCAATCCATGATAGGAGGGGAGTCCCAGCCTAACCACATGTGTGAGGACTTATGTTGGCTGGTCCAGTTCCAACCAGCACCAGCATACCCAGGAATTGATATCCAGGTGGTGGTAAGAAAGAGGGTTTCCAGCTGGAGGGGTGAACTGTATGTGGCAGATTCATCCAGTCCATAACCAGATGACATTTGGAATTGTACATCAGGTCTGCAGTAGAAGGAGAGTACACATCAACTACACCAGCAGAACTTCATTACACTACTCTCAACTGAATGGGATTGAGCACAGTCAGAAGGATGCCTCCATGGTCCACCAACCCAGTGGCTGGGAGCTGGTATATGAAAAGGACTTCCATACTTCACTCGAAGAGGGAAGAAGGGAATAACATGGTGGGGAGTCCACAAAAACACAACACTGGAGAAATTGCAATCGATGATCAAAAAACTCTATTTTTAAAAGCAGGCCAGTCCCGATTTATTAAACCAGGATCAGAGGGATGGGCAACTATCCTGACACTGCTTTACTCATGATAGTCCATGAGTTGGTACAGTCTGGGATGGATATATTTATGATACAAAACACCGCAAGGATGAACATATTTGTGGTCTTGTGGAACACCCTATCCATCTCAACAGTGAATGTTATAGACCTTAAAGGCCATACAGTGCAGATTTAAGGATTAGTATACCTGGAGAGGCACCATTACCACAGAGTGGGATCCAACATGTAAAATGTGCCCCTGTAATAAAAATAATGAAATAGAAAAATTACTTACCCACTCACACTTGAACTGAGTTGTGTAGAATAGCAATAGGTGGAACTTGGTATCCTGATGAGGAGGAGACAGTTACATGATGAATAATGAGAGATAATGGTGTGTGGTGTAGTCCACATGCCAGGCTGAATGATCAATCTCCTCTCATGGGCAATGGAAGTGGGCAGCCAAGGAGGGAGTGATAAGTCAGATCTGATGAGAGGATATCTGGAAAACACAGTGAGATTTTGGAGACAATGGAGAAAGAGGTGGGGATGGTAACTATGAAAGGAAGCCATGTGGGCAACATATCTGGAGGGACCACGACAGAGAAGATGATCTAGATCAAAATGGAAATACAAATGGGAAATGGAAGGGAAGTAAAAAGGTGTGAATGTAAGATTAGGTGGACAAAATAGCTGAAAGGAATAAAACAAAAGGAAGAGGGCAGGAGACAAAAAAAGGAATGATACACATGTGGAGAGTCCAGACTGCCTCACAATGGACTGGACAAATGCCATGTGTGATGAGGGCAAAATGACATGCAGAAGACTGAAGTTGACGAAGCATGGAGCAGGAGAGAGTGAATGGTAATGGAGGTAACAACTGAAGTAGGGTAAGAACTGAAAACCAAGGTTAAGCTGGCCAAAAAAGTGCAATGAGAAGAACTCAACACAGAGTGATTTGAATAATGGATAGATCTCTGGGAAGTAGATGGATAGGAGGATAGGAATAAAGGTTGAACCAATCCTGACACAAGGCATCTACTGCCAAAGCCAAAGGATGTGGAACCAGGTACCAAAAGAGGGGTAGCTTGGAATTGAGGTGGGTGGCAAATGCATCTGGAGTTGAAGTACCCCACTTGGTGCACAACCACCAAAACACCTGATAATCTATGGACTATTCTGCGGGGAGAATTTTGTCAGGTTGAGACAATCGATCCACAATGAAATTCAGGGCACCTGGAACATGACACACTAATAGGTGTGTGGGATGTGAATGGGCCCAGAATATAAGTTCAAAACCAAAGTGAACAAGAATGGGTGCCCCCTTGTCAAATGATGTAAGAGACAATGGTTGAATTGTCAGAATGTATCATGAACAATTTGTGTCATACTAAAGGTAGGAAATGATCCAATGCTCGATGAACTTCAAGGAGCTATTGAATATTGACATGCAGAGTCAACTCGAACAAAGACTAGCAACCCACTCTTTCTTGGGAATTCCTAACCCAACAAAGAAGTATCTGTAAAAAGATGTAACTCAGGATGGGGAGGAGGAATGCCTGCTGTGGTGTTGTCCCTTTTGGGTCATCAGGCTAAATAGACTTGTAGTGAGGAAGGGAGTAGGATAACTGAAACAAGAGCATAATTTCATTGATTGTGCAACACCCACTGAAGGGTGCATGTATGAATATGACTCAAGGTAATAAGGGCTTCGATGGAAGTCCAAGTCCTCAAAAGAGAAAGAACTTCACATGCAGAGAAAGATAATATGGAGCATTGTGAATTAATAGCTCTATGAATCTCAACCGAAAAGGAGAAGGCTGGACCCAACTGAGATAGTTGTTGTATAAAGCTCCCAAGTGGATAAGGAATTAGTTCATAATGAGAAAAAAACTTCTCCAGCTTGACAATTAACTGACACGAGTCACCTCATGAAGAAGTAACTGTGTAGGTGAATGAGATGTTTGTTGGGATGGAGCTAAAAACAACCAGTCATCAATATAATGGTGGAACCACAGACTGTGAGAAAGAATGAGTTCAGCAAAGCCCTTGACCACCTGACAGAATACATAGGGTGCAGAAGCCAGACCAAATGGAAGAGTGCATAATTAATAAACTCACCAGGAAAAGGAATATCTGGTCTGGTATAAGGAGATACAGCAGGCTGCATAATGGACCCAAAGTCATGAGATACAAAACTGAAACATCTTCACCAGAAAATGTGGATCCTGATTTGTGTAATGTGCTCACCTCAACTCAACTGAACAGTTGCAGGAGGAGGGCACAGAGCAGGAAAAACAACAGTAGTATTTGATATAATTTGAAATTCAGAATTCAAATTAAGAGTGGAAACTTAGAAATCAACCTACAGTATTTAGTTTCACTGAAAAAAATAAAACTGTAAACAACAAAGCTAGTAGATTAACAAATCGTGAAATAAAAAAATTGAAGCAAATGCGAGGAAAAGTTAGATACGTCTGAACTCTACTATGCCAAATCGAGAAGTTAAGATTGGGCTCTAAAGTATAGAGGGAGCCAGCTATGCCAGGAGGGTGCATCACACTTCTATTGGTGCAGGGTTTTCACATGCTTATTTGCATGCTATAGCACAACTGTATCATGTGATGGTAGGTGGAAGTATCAATGCTAGTGGCAAGTGAAAATTGCATATATATATATATATATATATATAGAG